TTGGACCATGTGACCAGCCATTTGGATTGGCGCACATGGCATGACCCAAATACCTCTCAAATGCAAGCTAAATTACAATTAAATGAAGCAAGCACATGGGTGAGAGTGGTCGGACCCGGGCGCCTAAGGTTAATCTAAATCATATCATGGTTTAGTTTAACCCAAGGTTAAGCTAGCTTCCTCCACACACTTCTTAGGTTTATATATATCTCTTTGGACGTGTAATTTGACACTTTGAGCATATATGAGAGTTTTCTACCTTGAGTATTCTCTCTAGCCGAAGTCCCTTGTGAGAGTTTTCTTCTCCAATTCGCCTTGAACTATCCTCTTTGTAGCTTTAGGCTTAGGCTTCTTCTAACTGAGGAGCTTGATTCAAATTTGAGCAACACTACTCCTTCTTCTTCGATTCAAATCCTTGAATAGTTCTCACGGAATTCAAGAAGGAGTTGCATAAAGAATCAATGAATTTTCCACAATTTAAGACTCCATCAAGATACTTAATTAAAATTTCCCAAAAATTTAAGGGACTTACTCATGTATCAAACAAGATTTATTTTTTCTTTTAAACGCAAGATCTTAAATTTAAATGCTATGATTAGGAAAAGATTTAAAGTCATTTAATTTTAAATAGTGGATGTTCAAAAAGAAAATCGACATTATCAATCTCATATTGAAAACAACCGTGAGTCTTTCAATGTCTTATGATAAATAAATGTTAAATTATATTTTTAGTTCTTTTATTTATTTTTAAGATTTAATTTAATCCATTATTTGTAAATAGTTTAATTTGGTTCTTTAATTTTTTAAAAATGTTTGATATTATCTTTTCGTTCAAATTGACACTAATAATATTAATGAAATCGGATGAAAGGACGATATTGAACATCATTTGAATTAGAGAATAAAATTAAATCATTTAAAAATAATTAGACCAAATTGAACATTTCATAAATATAGGGACTAAATTGAATAAAAAAAATTATCTAACATTTTTTTTAGTAGATAAATTTGAATTTTATTTTATATATTTAATAATTTATTTTATCAAATAAATCCTTCATTATGTGATCATTTTTTTAATTCTAAGTACTCAATTTATTACTATTCATGATTTTGTTAAGATAAGTAAAAGAAAATTCAAATGTATATAGATAAAAAAATGTTAAATAAATTTTTATTCAATTTGATTCAATTGTTTTTAAAATGCTTAAATTTGGTCTCATTATTTTTTAAATTGTTAAGTCAAAAGATGATTCCCTAAACTCAAATATGCTAACAAATAAAACATTTTTATATAAAATAAATGTATGCAGAAAAACATCTTTGAAAAGTATCTTTGAAAGACTTATCAGATGAAGTATAAGACGTAGATCGTTTGTAAGATGTCAATTAGACGAAGCATATAATCTGTCTCATATACCTTACATATTTATCATTTATTGAGACTAATGTCAAAGTTCGCTTTGAATGCTTCATTTCTTAATAAATTAAATCAAATATCTTTTCGGAACTTACAAATCTGTTAAAGAGAAAAGCTTTGCTTTCTGTCAAAACCAAATCCCTAAAATCACAAAGAAAAGCAAATAAAGTTATTGCCATAATTGTTCTGCGCTGACATTGTTTCTAAAAGCTCCATTTGATATAAAAAGTTGATAAGTAGTTTCCTTGATCAGGTAAGATGTACTATTTGGCAAAATACATTTAATTCGAGCATTAAATGAGCCAAACGGTCACCTGTTATTGCAAGGAAAGACGATGAAGACAAATGAAGCACACTTATGAGTTGGACTCAAAGTGTTGTAACGGTCATCTTCTCCAGGCTACTATATAAAAAGACTCAATGCATAAGAAAGAAAGAAGGTTGCTAATTTTACATAGATACATTTGCATAGAAATCTAATCTCTATATATCTATTCTTTATTGTAAACTTTTATTGCTATGTAATTGGTTGTCTAACATTTTAGTGAGACGAACACAACTTCTTTATAATCTTCATAACCATTTGTTATAAGGTTGAGCTTGGAAAGACTTATTTGAAAAAAACACTTATTCTTAAGCCTGGAGAGGCTTGACTACAAAAGGATACTTGGTTGTTAAGTCTTGAGAGGTTTATTGTTAAAAGAATACTTGGTAGTTGCTTGAAGAGGTAAGTTAAAGAATACTTAAGTTTGAGCCAAAAGTATTCTTTTGGTGCTAATTGAAATTTAGCACATAAGCTAGCTGAAAACACAATATATGGTCTACTAGTTGTTAAATATAAGACAAATCCTATCATTCCTCTATATTCTTTTTCACATATTGGATTTCCTTCATAATTAACACTAATAATTTGTGAGGGATGGATAGGTGTGCTCAGATTTTGTCTTACCTATTCTAAATCTTTTTAAGAGACTTTTGGTGTATTTCTCTTAATGAATAAAAATCCCTTGTTCTAACTGTAGGATTTATAGTCCAAGGAAGAATTTGAATTCCCCTATCATACTAATGTCAAATTCTTCTTTGATTAGTTTAGAGAATTTTTTACACACCTTTTAAAAGGATGCTCCAAATATTATGTAATCTGTGTAAATCTGGACTATCAGAAGATGGTCCTTCTGAGGCTTTCTGAGTAGGGTAGTATCAATCTTTCCTCTTGTAAAACCAATCTTTAGAAGAAAGTTGTTGAGTCTCTCAAACCAAACTCTTGGAGCTTGCTTTAATCCATACAATGCTTTAACAAGTTTATACACATGTTGTGGTTTCTTTTCATCTTCAAACCTAGTTGGTTTTTTTACATACATGTCTTCATTTACGAATCCATTTAAGAAAACACTTTTAACATCCATTTGATATAAAATGGTATCTTGATGAGCAATATAGGTAGGTAGTATTTTGATTGCTTCCAACCTTGCTACAGGTGCAACTGTTTCTCCATAATCAATTCCCTCTTACTGGTTATACCCTTGAGCAACCAATATTGCCTTATTTCTTACAACTTCTCCTTTTTCATTCAACTTGTTCTTGAATACCCATTTGGTACCAATAACCAATTGGTTCCTTGGTAGAGACACTAGTTTCCAGACTTGACTTTTCTCAAATTGATCTAGTTCTTTTTTCATTGCAACAATTCAAAATTCATCTTCTAAGGCTTCTTCCACTTTCTTAGGCTCTATATAAGATAGTAAAGCAATAGGGTTGCTTTCTCTATTGATTGCAACCCTTTTTCCACTACTATATGGTGTTTCTCCAATGATTAGCTATGGTTAATGAAATGTGGCAAATCTTCAGTTTCTTGGCATATTTTTTCTTTCATTAGGTACTGGTTCCGACTCATCCTTCTGATCCACCTTTTGTGGCTTTAGCAGATAAGTCCTTTTCCTTCTAATGAATTTTTAACCTTTCTAGTTCTTCTTTTAAATTTACAATCTTTCTCAACTCAAGTGTATTATCTCTTTCATTAAACAAAACATTCATACTTTCTTCAACCGTTTGAGTTTTAAAGTTATAGATCCTATATGCCTTAGAAATTAAAGAGTATCCTAAGAAAATTGCCTTATCAAAATTTTCATCTAACTTAGCTAGATTATCTTTGTTGTTCATGATATATGATATGCATCCAAAGACATGAAAATATGATACAATAGGTTCCTTATTTTTACATATTTCATAAGGAGTTTTATGTAAGACTTTTCTTAAGGTTAATATGTTCAAAATGTAGCATGTTGTGTTTATAGCTTCATCAGTTTTGTATTTTAGCTTATGATAGTAGTGTTCTCATCATTTCTTGAATTCTTTGAACAACTCCATTTTATTGTGGTGTTCTAGGGCATGAAAAATTGTGACTTATACCATTTTATTCACATAAGTTTCTAAATAGACCATTTTTAAATTCTCCACCATGATCACCTTTAATGGAGACAATGTTTAAGTTTATTTCCTTTTGGACTTTCTTATGAAAACTTTTAAAAGCTTAAAAGGATTCATCCTTGTGTGTAAGAAACAAAACCCAAGTATACATTGAGAAATCATCAACAATTACAAAACCATATTTCTTCCCCTAAGACTTATTGTTTTTATTGGTCCAAACAGATCAATATGAAGAAGTTTAATGAAAGGTTACAACTTTCTTTAGTTTAAAGCTTGATTTTGTTTGTTTTCCTTTAGCACATGCTTCACACACACACGTTATCTTTTTCATATTTAATTTTTTGGTAATCTTCCAACAAGATCCATATTAGACAATTTAGACAGAGTTTTCATTTTTGTGGGACCTAGTCTTTTATGCCATAACCATTTATCATTTTCAATTATTGTAAGGCATGGATGATTAGATATATCTTCTAAATGAACATTGTATAAGTTCTTTTCCCTATTTTTAGAGAAGAGAATTTTTCCAATTTTCCTTCCTTTAATCTGGCAAGCATTAGGCTCAAATATTATCTCATAGCCACTATCACAAAATTGGCTGATACTCAAAAGGTTATATTTCAACCCTTTCACATTGTAAACATTTTCTATTTGAGTAGAGTGAGGGTTACCTATTTTTCCTTTTCCTTTTATTATAGCTTTTCTATTATTACCAAATATGACAAATCCTCCATCTGTCTTTCTTTTAAGAGTAACGAATTTTGATTTATCTCTTGTCTTGCCAAAGTACCATTGCTTTTTCTCGTTTTTGGGCATGAAACATTCTTGCATCAGAAGTTAAGAGATATTTAGGTACTCATACTTGATTGGATTTTTATAAGTTAGCAACCTTCCTTGTGACCATGTTTTTTTCCCAATAACACTAAAAACATAATGTCTCTATTTGTTACACTTGAAATATCTAAATAATCAAATAGCCCATCATATTAATAATAAGTTCGATAATAACAATTAATAATTCAACCACTAATTAACCCCGACTAATTAGCCCAATTAATTCAATGACTGATTCGATTTTAATAATATCCATTCTAATGACATGTATTTATAGCATATACTCTTAAATAGAACCCTAAAATCCAAAGTTGTGTAAACAAACACTTGGTTTGAGTAAAACGCCGTCGTTCCCAGTGTCGTTCACTTCTCTTTCTCTTTCCCGCTCCGCAATCCTCTTTTCTTCCACAAACCCAACTAAACTTTGGGGTTTAGGGTTTTTCTCTCTCCTCTACAATCCAATTTCTCCATTTCTCCCTCTCTCTCCACAATCCAGTCACAATGATGTACAATGATCCTCAGCACCAGCACCAGCACCAGCACCAACAGCACCAGCACCAGCACCAGCAGCACCAGTACCAGCAACAACAGCAGCAGCAACAACAGCATTTCCACCACCAGCCGCCGGGTCCGGAGTTCCACCGCGGTCCTCCGCCACCGTCGCAACCGCCGCCGGTGATGCGCCAAGGCTCCGCCTCCTCCACGAATGTTGCCCCCGAGTTTCACCACCCCGGCCCCGGAGGACCACCTCCTCCTCATTACGATGGTTTGGTTTCGCTTCCTCTTCCTCCAATTGCTTCTTATTCTTCTTATAATTATCGACGAACGAAGGGAATTTGATGAATGTGAACACGTGTTGGCTGTTGCGATTTCTTGTGCTGGTAATAAACCCTATTATATGGTGCTATTACGTGTGTCTGTGTGAGAGGGAGATGTAATGTTTGTATGAGTGGAATGAAGGAGTGAATTGTGAACTTGAGTTGCCGACAGAAGCTTTGGCTTTGGGATTAAAGGGTTTTGGGTTACCTAGGAATCAGATAGTGTGTGGGATGCGAGTTTGGTATGACTTGAGTTACCAGTGTTTTAGAGGTGGTGCTTATGATTCAGGAAATGACTAAGGGGATGTAGTGCATATGATACGGGCTGGACGAGTGTCATAGAGAAATGGGATAGGTTTAATTTTAATGTGTGTACCGAACACAAAAGAAAGTGGTAAGTTGTAACAGATAAAGTAGTGACAAAAGTAGAAGACAAGTATAGTAGTGATGTGAATGCTGAGGTGGATGATTATTGTAGAGAAACTAAGAAAGATAAGGTCAGGAACAGATATGTTAGGGAGAAAGTTGGGGTGGCACTTGCTGAGGAGAAGATGATATAAACTTAGCTAAGGTGGTATGGTCATGTGTGGAGGTGAGAAACTAAGGCTTATGTTTTAACTTTTGTAATCTCATTGGAATCTTAGAAGATGGTGTGTGTGAAATGTTTGCCATAATTTGATTGACTTGGTTTGATGAGAAAAATTCTTTGTAATCTTATTCTCAGAATTTGAGCTTAGGGCCTAATTCAAACCCACTTAGTTTGCTTGTAAGGTAAAGATTGCCCAAACATTATAAGCCCTACTTAAGCCATATCTCCAGCCGATGTAGGACTAAACTGCCTAAGATCTATATCTTGGTGGTTACACTCTATGATACTAAAGTCAGCCTTTTTGGTCATTTCCTATGTAGGTAGCCCTTTGTGGCTTATAGGTGACTGCAATTAAGGTGACTTTCCAACACCCCATCATGCCCAAAGCTATAGCCTTGGAGCAGGGCAAACTGGCAATGCAGGTAGCTTAAAAATGAATCTAGGATTTGCTTTGGTACCATCTTAGAATTTGGATTTAGGGTGTTACTCAATGCTACTAAATTGACTTGTAAGGTGGAGGATTCTCCAAACTTTATAAGCTCTAATTAAGCCATATCTCTAGTCTAGATGATGTGAGACTAAATGCTGAAGATCTGCATCCCAACACTTGCATTTGACAATGCTTAACTCAGCCTTTTTGATTAGTTCCTTTGTAAATGCCCCTTTTTGCCCTAGGGGTGACCACAATTAAGGCATCTTTCCAAAATTTATTTTCTGGTTCCTCTGTGGTTCTCTCCATATATACTAAAGTTGAGTACTTGAGTGGATTATATTGTTCTTTCCTCAATGAATAAGTTCTCTTTTTATTTTTCCCCTTCTAAATGAAAACTGTGTTCTTATGTTAGGAATCTCTTCTTGAGAAAGGAAAAGAAGAATAGAATCGTAACAAAGAACTGCACACTCACACAATAAGACTAAACAACTAAATAACTTTTGTATTGATTATGAACAAAATTCTTTCAAGAACCAAGGTATACAAGTATACCCCCAAAAGGAGCACTCTCCTTTTCACACCGAAAGCTTCCAGTTTAATCAAATTTTACAAGAAAACTGCCTCAACTAAACAATAGAGGTATTATTTAAAGAGTTTACAACAGAGTAACAGATTTAACTAACACTCTTGACCTAGTCAGCTAACAGTTACAATATGTCCCTTTCCCTTTTTCTATCTATAATAAACCTGTAGAGGTTTCTCCCGCTCCCTAAAATCATTCCTAACATCTAAGTTGCATGTAGGAGATGATTCTTGAGGTGTTACAAAAATGTCTATCCTTGCATTGTTTTAGGTCAGGGCATTGAATTTATATTTTTCCTTCATTGCCTATAAGCTTTAAATATGTGGAAAATTTTGGGTTTGGGTTTTTGGTGACTATATGAATTTAACAGTAAATGGCTTTTGCAGTTCACGGTGATAGCCATGGTGCAAAAAGAATGCGAAAGCTTACTCAAAGGAAAGCAGTTGATTATACAAGCACAGTTGTGCGTTATATGCAGGTAATGATTTTTTTTCTTAATAATACACTCATTGCTATATTGTTAAACTTTTTGACTTGTTCATTTCCATCTGTGGCAATATGTCTATTTCTAATGTAAATTTATGGGTTATCTGAATCTGCCTTCAGATTCGTATGTGGCAGCGGGATTCAAGGGATAGGACAGTACTGCAACCCACCCCGGCAGCAGCAATTGATGTAAGTGAGCTTCGTTTTGATTTTGTACTGTTTTATTTGTTTAAAGTTTGTATATTTTTTCCCTTTATTCAAATAAATAGGCGTGATAGATTTTAAGGATTTTTTATTGTAATGATCAACTTGATTCCTCAGAACATAACCTTATGTTATTTTTCATGCAGATGTTGCCAGCAGTTGGCTATCCAGACAATCCATCTACAAGCTTTGCTGCAAAATTTGTTCATACATCCCTAAATAAAAATCGTTGCCCCATTAATCGCGTTCTTGTAAGTTAGATTGAAATGTTGTGTTTGGCATGATGTAATATATGTTATGCAGATTGTTGGTTATAGATGTACCAGCTGCATGTCATTCTGCTTCATTCAAAAATTTCTGAATGGAAGCTGCTTCTCATTTAAATTGATTTTGTTATTTTAGGGTCCTTGAGTAGTTTGATTTACAATGTTTTCATTTTCAACTACGTATATAAATGGTAAAATTTGCTATCAATTTTGTTCTTATGTTTTGCATGTTCAAAACAAAATGAGTATGCAGTTAACTTATACTTTAAATTGGAATTAGTAGCAAACAATTTTGTTTGCTTAATTCACTTAATTTGTAAAACTAGTGAATTACATGTTAAATGCAGTTCCTGTTCAATTCAATCATTGTATTATTTTATTGGAATTTTGAATTGAGAGATTTTTATACACAATGATGTATTATATTGAGTTTGTACTGGACACAATTGTTTCTATGAGGTCTTTCAATTGGTTTAGGAAGTTATTACTTGTTCATTTGTATTTTTTTTTAAATGTTCTACTGGATTGCATTTGACTTTGTGATGCTGCATCACTGTTTAATTTTCAAAAAATAGTGGACTCCAACAGGCCGACGACTTATTACTGGCTCACAGACTGGGGAATTCACTCTTTGGAATGGACAATCTTTTAATTTTGAAATGATTCTTCAGGTACACAACTTTAATTATTGTCTCAACATTATTATTTTAGTCATCAGTAAAAAATACAAGTCAAAGGTGGATTTTGAAACACATGCAGGCTCATGATCAAGCAATCAGATCCATGGTCTGGAGTCACAACGACAACTGGATGGTCTCTGGTGATGATGGAGGGGCAATAAAGTAGACACATATTTAAATATATTGTGATTTCTTATAAGCTTTATATTGCATGTTTTTATTTATGCATATTTTGCTGGTAAAAGGCACATATTTTTAATTAGATGTATGTGTGTGGCATTTTCTAGGTATTGGCAGAACAACATGAACAATGTTAAAGCCAACAAATCTGCTCATAAAGAATCAGTCCGTGACTTGAGGTATAGATGTTTTATTTGAAAAACAGAAATTATAACATGCTGAAGGGGAAAGGTTCTGTAACTCTTTGATATACAGTTTCTGTAGGACAGATTTGAAGTTTTGTTCGTGCTCTGATGATACCACAGTTAAAGTTTGGGACTTTGCACGTTGTCAAGAAGAGTGTTCATTAACTGGTAATGTGCTTTAGATGGACCATATCTGAAAATTAGTTTCCTCAGGAAACTTTCCTGTATCTAATCTTGTCCATGTCCTGAAAACTGAATCTTAATAGTATTTTGTTTAATATATTTGTCTGGATCTTAATACTAATAATATTTTGTTAATCTGTGTTTTATCTCTGCTTTATTTTAAGCTTTCCTAAACTAATTAGTAATTACAGATTGCATTGTTTATGCACTTGAAATTGGATTCTCTTTATGTTAAATAACCTTTTGTATTTCTATCTTTTTCTGTTTTATCTTCATTTACCAAAAATTTAAAATAAATAACTTTTTTGTATTTCTGGATGTTGAGTTGTTGATTGTAGAGGAATTCTAATTTTTAGAAATAGATAATCTGTTTAATTTTTATAGTTATTCATGGCATTGGTTGCCTCTCTCAGTTTGTGCTGCCATGTTGCTAAATTATTCTCATTAATTGCAATCTCATTTTATTTGTTGAGCTGTGAATATGTCCTTGTAGATGACTATTTTGATGGGGAGGCTTTTCTACTTCCGGGGTTAAATGTCATCTAATTTACCAATTTCTTGTTATAGGGTTGATATTAATGATTTAGTTGATTTCTTAAGAGTACTAACTTGGTCCATGTGGCTGACCTCTGGGGTTGATTTTTGTTTTCTTTATTTTTCTTTAAGATTTTTTATTTGGTCGGAATCATCCTATGACCTGTGGAGTCAAGAGTTTTGATAGGCTCGTAATACAAGTATATAGAAGGGGAGGGAGAACTTAACAGAATGGATAGGTGGCAGCAGGGGATTACAGAGGGGATGCGGGAATCATCCAAAATGAGTAGAGGGAGAATGATTATTTGGAGGGGGGAGTAACCAAATAGGGGCACTAGACAATTCATGAGTAAAATTTATTTTGCTAGGCTGAGTGAAGAAGCTGGTTCATCCTCAGAAAAAGGGTGCAATAGTCTTGTGTCTTATTTTCCATCTTGCAGGGAGCTCTGCTCCATCCATTGTAGTAGTTTTCAATTCTTCTATATTTTACTTTGTAAAAGAGGTTACCCCTCTGATTTAGATATAATTTCAGTTTCAATATTACTGCAGGTTTTTCATTCCAATTCTGGTGCCTATCACATTTTAAAAATGATTACCTTGCACGGTGTTTTGGCACTAAGGCCCATTTATCATTTTTAAACTGTGTTATACTAATGTTTGAAAGTGTTTGTGCCTTTTTTTGTGTCACAAGAGGTCATAGTCTCATAGATGAGTAATTTTTATATTTAATTTTCAACAATTTTATGTGTAACTGGAGCATGATAAATTTAAATGAAGACTGACTGAATTTTTGTTATTTTAAATACCACACAATAGGTTGTACTACTGAAAAAGAACACTTTTTCTGTAATCGTTATAATTTTTTTAACATATGTTATATACCACCATGTTCATTAATGTCAAACATTAACTGCATGGGGAAACTTTTAAAGTTCCAAATAAAATGGGGTCAATCTGTCATTTCTACGTATTCATATGTCTGTTCTAAATACTTAATTATGGTACAAAGGTTGGTTTGCATGTTTGAGTTTTCATGGACACTCAATTATTCCTCTAGAATTTTATATTTCCATTACTTTTTATTTCAATCCAATCAATTTATGTGTTACCCAATTAGTTTCTGAATTTAAATTTTTGAAGTCTTGGAATCTGTGTTAGCGTCTATACTTTATAGTATTTTTTGTCTGTTGGAGACCTAACCTTAGATTTATCATTCTGGCATTTGAACTCAGCCAGGCCATGGTTGGGATGTGAAGAGTGTGGACTGGCATCCTACAAAATCCCTATTAGTATCAGGCAGGTGTTTTAAACATTTTGCTAATGAAGTTTCTTTAGATTATGAAATTCAAATTCAATAATGTGACTGCATATCCCATTTGATTTTCACAATACAGGTGGGAAAGACAATCTTGTGAAACTTTGGGATGCTAAAACAGGGAGAGAGCTTTGCTCATTGTGAGTGCTAACATAAGTGCTGATTTCTATTGTTTTGTGTGTTTTGTTTGTGTTAATAGATTCATGCTTCTGTCATGCAGTCATGGCCACAAAAATACTGTGCTGTGTGTCAAATGGAATCAAAATGGTAATTGGGTGTTAACAGCTTCAAAGGATCAAATAATAAAGGTTGGTAAACATATCTTCATGAAACAAATTGATGGATCCTCCTTAATAGGCATTTCCTGTCTTTTCTATTTTGGATTACCATTATAAACCTTTGAGGATTCTGAGTTGTATTTTATCTACCAATCAGTCTTTCTGTCATGTTACTAATATTCATATGTACCTTGTATTTGCAGCTTTATGACATAAGAGCAATGAAGGAGCTTGAATCATTCCGTGGACATCGCAAGGATGTTACTGGTAAGTCACATGTCTTTCTCCTGGAATGGGAATGAAAGGATAGCTCATTGAAATTAGTGTATACAGCTAGGAATTCTCCACCTAGCATCCACCCGTTACACATGGTTAACTAGATTTGTCAATATGGTTAACTTTGTCTCACAAGTGGTTAAGAGTAAATGAATGTGATTGTATACGATTATCGGTATTTATGTATGGTACTAATGGTTAAATTTACCTCACTAGTGGTTAATAGTGTTGTGAGTTTATTGAAATGTTTAATAGTGACTAACTGAGCCTTACAAGTGGTTAATTGTACCAGGTAGAAGGTGGGTGAACATTTTTAGTGGATGTTTATAATTTGTCTTGAAATTAACTAAAATATCCTGCAAAACTGGATACATCACTATAATCTTTTCAGCCAAAACAACCTAACAGTGGCTTTGAAACATTGCTTTGATGTCATATTTTTACTTCTGATTGATAATTTCATGTTACATGTAGGCATTTTCATAAACTTTTAAAAATCTATGTTTTGTAGTTGAGATTAGATTATTTATTATTAAATATAGAATTTTGATATTATACTTGGCAGTGAATGCTATCAGGTTATAGTAAAAATAAAGTTGAGTCTGAATGATGTGACAGTGACACACAATTTGCTTTACTTGATACTTCTTTAAGTTTTGATTTGAAGTTTGATTGAAATGATTGATTTTAATTGGTGGAAAATGTCCTCCAATTCAATTCACATTGGTATCTGTCTGGTAACTAGGTTGCTCAATTTGTTTAATTGTATGACCTGGATTTTTAGTTTTGCTAATAATCTTAACAAGTTATGGCTGAGTTATTTTATTAAAGTGTTATATGTTTCATTGATCTGTTCTTTTACTAAGATTATGATATCATTCTCCTGAACTTAATAATTTTTTTCCTCGGCTATCATCTTTCCATCTTTCCTTTGCATATATGCCTTGACTATGCCTAACCATGTTTATGATAGTTACCATCGTTAAATTGCTGTCACCAAGAACACCTTTTTGAGAACTTGAGCTAAAACTTGGTTAAATGATGCAGCAATTTAGTCTCAACTCCTGATTACATTTTTATCCATTGAGGAGCACTTGTGTTCACCTTTTTTATGCTATTTTGTTTGCAGCAGCCCCTCCAATTTGGAAATACAGTTCTCTGTATCCAAATCTATTAATTATACTGTTTTTTTCCAACTTCATTATGTATTGGCTGTTGTATGTAGCAATGTGCATTTTGATATGCCACCTTTTGTATTCCTATTCCTAAGCAAGCAATTCATACAGTTCCATATTATGGTGTTTATAATATTTTCAATGGCACTGGCAAAAGGCCATGTTATGCATGCATGCACAATGTTCCTTAAATTGTTGCGTATTTAGTTAGAGAAATAACAGCAACACATTATTTCAAACACACCCCTCATGGCTGAAATTCATTTAAAATCGCATAATTTTGTGGGTTCTACTTCATATTTAATGAACCCCATTTATGGTTTTGTAGTTTCTAATAAATTCTAACCAATATCAGAGAGTATGTTAGAAGATGTGTGTCAGAGAGCATTGCCAGTACTCCTCTACATAGTTAATTTTTGATTGATTTACAGGGTGGTGTAGTGTTGCCAGGACTGTATGGTAAATTGCCATTTTCTGTAATGCTTCTGCAACTGATAAAATGGAATAAATTTTTTCTGACTTTTGACACTTTTGTTAGCTTTGGCATGGCATCCATTCCATGAAGAATACTTTGTCAGTGGGAGTTATGATGGTTCCATCTTCCATTGGCTTGTCGGGTAAATTTTTTTCTCACTTCTCTTTGTTCTCTCTCTGCAGTTCTTTCATTATTTTATGCTATATTCTTTTTTTTTTTTTTCATTGTGCCTGTTTTTATCAGTTTTCTTTTTAAGTTTATTTTATTTGGTTGTGATTTTTTTGTTATTTCTGAAGTCAATTGACTCTGGTGTTTTTTTTTTTTTTTGGGTGAACAAATTAATTAAACACTTATTAAATAAGTACTTATAATGTAACCACCTTTGTATGTTTTTATAATTGAAGAGAAAACAAGGTTAAATTATTTTTGTACTAGTTGTAAATTGTTTTCTTATGTTATTCTAGAATCTAGAGAGCTTATTGAAATAAGTTGAAAACGGTTTATGGACATTTCATAAGATATTTTCATAAACTCTCTCAAACACTTATATAAGGGCTTACTCCCTCCGATCTTGAATTTAGGTAAAGAAAAAACCTATGTATATTGGTCTAAATATAAACAAATCTCAACTAATTTCACCCTATCTAATTATTTCAAAATAGCCTTCATTTAACTGAGATTGTATTTCTGAAGACCTTTTTGTTTATACTTGATGACAAGTTTCAATGAATGACAATTGTGAAGATTTTTTTTTTAAATGTGATTAGTAAAATTAAATGATGTTAACTAACTTTCTTGCACATTAAAATTAGTTGATGTTGCACAACTGACTCAATCTGTTCTGATAGTAATTCAATTGGTGATTACGAGGGGCTAGAACAATTTTTTTCAAAATTATGGAGATTAAAAAGATCAATTTTAAATTTGAATGACCAAAAGAAAATTTACCCCAAATTTAAGAGATTAAAAATGAATTTACACCTTAAAATAGGGAGAAACTATATATGTCTGACAATTATTCTAATTATTTAAGTGTTCATTATTCTGATTATTACATTTAATGTTTATACAGACATGAAACTCCACAAATTGAAATTTCCAATGCTCATGATAATAATGTTTGGGACCTTGCATGGCATCCTATTGGATACCTTCTGTGCAGGTAAACTTTATCTTAGTATATGCAATAGCATGTCATGATACATAATAGATTTCTGTCTTCAACTTTTTTGATGCCCAATGTTCTAAAGCTACTTTTCCATTTCCACATACCTGTCTTTCTGTTAATACTAAATTATGTAACTTCTGTTTTTCAAATGTTTTCCAAATTCAAAAATACTATATTCTGAAGGAATTTTTGAAGGAACTCTGATGGGCATCATAAGTTGTTTTCGGATCCTTTTGAACCTTTTGATTTTAATGTTCAATTTCTTACTGATACCCAAAATAGTAACATCTTAGTTTTAGTTCTTACAATAACATTTTGCAGCTTCATGAAAGTTCCTGAAATTTATTTTGGTAGACATTTTGTTTTTAATGCTCTATTTGATCTGTTGATATCTAAAGAAAGTAATTAATAATGGCTAACTTTAAGTTACTGGACTATCATAATGTCTTGTGCAGTGGCAGCAGTGATCATACAACCAAATTTTGGTGCAGAAATAGGCCAGGAGACACTGCACGTGATAGATTTAACACTGGCATGCAAGGTTTGTTTCATTTCCTTAAAAGGGCAAATTAAGCAACATATTGTTTCTAGTTTTCTTCAGATTTAAATCATAAAACCCTTTGATGTCAATTTTCATCTAATTATTGGACTGTATGATTTGAAGCGGTCTGATTGTTTTCCTCTAAAACATTTCATGATAATATAAATCCTTATAAATTCACTGTTATTATTGAACATTTGCTTTAAACTTAAGGTGGGGGTTGAGGCTGTTAGTTGTTTGATGAAGAAAATTCCGGATGGTAATTCTTATAGTTAGAAACATTGCCTGTTTTGAAAGACAACTGATGAAACATCTGACATTAGTTTGAATACATTGTTCTGTCAGGATATCCTGACCAAAATCCTGTTGCTGGTCGTATGGGTGGTAATTTTCCTATAGCTGAAGGCCCAACAACTCCAGGACCATTTGCCCCTGGGTTGACTCGAAATGAGGGTACCATTCCAGGTGTTGGAGTTGCAATGCCCTTATCTATTCCTTCTCTTGACATGCCTCAAGGGGAGCAGAAGCAGCCACATCCTGTTTCAATGGGTGCTCCTCCTCTTCCCCCAGGTCCACATCCCTCTCTTCTTACTGCCAACCAACAACAACCATACCAACAAAATCCTCAGCAGATCCCTCAACATCAACACCAGGCTCTACCTCCGCAGATGGGTCCTTTGCCTATACCTCCAAATATGCCACAACTACAGCACCCTTCCCATTCGCCCATGGTCCCTCACCAACATTTGCCTCGCCCTCCGCCCCAAATGCCTATTGGCATGCCAGGATCTCTACCAGGGATTTCATCAGTGCCGACGTCACATGCAATGCCAATGCCAGGTCCAATGGTATGAGTTCCGTGGAACGTTTCTCTTACTCTGATCTTTCCTATAAAATATAATGAAATTATGTGGATGTCGCTTCTTCCCAATGTGGTAGATTGTTTGAGTGTTGTATTAGTGATGGTTGTTAGGGGCTGAATGTTTGAGGCTTTAATTGGTCTGTATTCATAGGATTAGCATGATAAAATGTATCTTACCATATTATCCTAGGGATATAATTCAAAATCTTGTGGGAGGGAGTTGGAGAACATGTACATTTTTAAGAAGCTCAAATTTTCCCTTATTTTGGTGCTTCTTAGAGCCTGTGTGGTTTGAGAAATCATTTTGTTTTCATTTCTGTTTCATAAATAATAACTATCTTGTGTTCACATTGTTTCTTGTTTTTGAAGATTTGTTCTGGAAATAGTGGAAACCTAGGAAGCCCAAGTGCATAGTATGATACAATATGGATATGGGGATAAGGGAAATTTCAAAAAATATAGATACAACATGGCCAAGATATGTCAAACTTGTTGTCTCATGTTCTGTGTGCACTGCAATAACTAATTATATTTTACCACATTCATACCATTGTTATGAATTAAGAGTCTCAAGTTATTGGGACTTGGGAGTATCTTTGGGTGATAAGGAAATGATTAAATGATTGAATCAGTGGAGATTGGAGAATAATATTTATGGAGGCTAGCTGATATGCTTCATTCTTTTGGGGAGACTAATAAGAAATCAAACCATTTAAATAATTGTAATCTAACTTAATAGATTATCTGTACTTAAGTTCATAGCACATTTAACAGAACCATTCCCTTTTTTTTCCTTCAGGGGATGCAAGGAGCGATGAATCAGATGGGTACTCCAATGCCACAAGGTCCTTATGTGGGCATGAATCAGATGCATTCAGGATCCTTGCCTACAAGTGGAGGGCCACCTCTTGGTGGTTTTCCAAGCAACTTACCTAATATGCAAGGGCCATCAAATGCCAGTTATCCTCAAGGTGCTTCATTTAACAGACCTCAAGGTGGGCAAATGCCTATGATGCAGGGGTATAATCCTTACCAGGTAAGATAGAATGCTGCTTCATGAGCTACTTATTGTTGCATTATGCTAGGAAGTTGTTTGAAAGTTGAAAACTTTTTTTTTTTTTTTTAATCCTCTTTATCATAAACTATGTGGTTTCGTAAATTGTGTTTTGAGCTATTAAGTAGTGCACAAATCTTAGTAAAAATTATTTCTCTGTTTGCATATCAACATTAACCAGTTCCCTCTTCCTGCACACCTTTTCCATTTCTTTCTCTTTTTATTTATTTCTCTAATAAGAGATCTGCTTGATGTTGATGCACAGCTGAGCAGAATTCCCAAGTATATATGCCTTTGTTTTCCACTCCACCTGCTCATTGAATTCATTAAAGATCTGTCAATGATTAAAAATCCCTTTCTTTTCATATCTCTGTTGCCCCTGGAGTAAAGATTTGTGCATAATTAAAAACCAAGAAATGCCTGTTGACCATGATTGTTAGCGTACATGATCATATGCAATATATTTAATTGTCAACTAATTGAAATTTTCACTTGAACATTGAATCAAAAAGGGTCCAACTGATATTGCATTGTAGCAAATAGGACAACATCATCTTATGCCGGTTTAATACATATAAATTGAATGAAATTGTTGGATGTGATGTCAACTCTGTTGCATAGTTAAATGATCATATTTCTATTTCTCATTATAATTAATTTGCTTTGGGTCTTGGGAAGTGGACAGTCCAATTCTGAAGTGAAATTAAATCTTATGTTTTATTTATTGCAGTCTGGTAATCAATCTGGGATGCCTCCAAACGCACAACCAGGGGCATCACACTCTCAAATGCCACCATAGAATAGGAAATTGCTTTCTTTATAGCTGTAATTTCATCCCTCATGATTTCGGTCCCTTTTTGTGTAATTCATGTTTTAATCTGCTGCTGAAGTTTCGGATAGAAAATTGTGTTCCCTTTTGCCGTCAATTATTTGTAATTTTTTCCCGTTTGATGTGAATGGTTTCGTATTTTAGTTAAGGTTTACAGTTAGGTTATTAAATTGTTTGACTGTAACATTTTTTTTGCTAAATGAGGATGAGCAATAATATTTTCTTTGAAACTTCATTTTCAAATAAGGGCAAGATAGAGAAGAACACGAGTGATATACCCTTCAACACTTTTTTATTATTTACTAAAGTTTATTGAAATTTACAAATTTAATAGTCTTGCATCTTATTTAATTTTTTTAGACAGACAAATTTATAATTTTTAACCAATAGTAATCTGTTGGCAAGTGAGGGGCAGGAAGTGTTTTACTTTTTTCATAGAGATAAATGTCTGAGGATTTAGATTTGATCTTTAATTACTGCCTAATGGAAGTCTCTTATTGATAAAATAAAAGTTATGCAAATAATTATATGCTATTTTATTTTTTTAATAAGTTTTTTTTTTATTTTATATTTTAAATTTTTTAAATTAAAAAATCCTGAAAAGACAGGCTGATTTAAAATTTTCTCATTTATTGCAAACGAGGTTTTAATATTTTTAGATGAATTAGCACCTAATCTTTAGTTTACTCAATGAGAAGCAACATATAAATACAATGTTCAAATTTTTTTTAAACATTGGATTGGTCGTTAAATTGATTAGAGATTAAGTTATATAAAATTAATATCATGTCTTAAATAAGTCTTAAAAAAATTTAATTGATATAATATGATAGAACACTTAATTTATGGATCGGTTAAATAGTATAAATTAATATATAATTTTAAATTAAAACATTATATAAATTATTACAATTATAACAATATGAGATGTGTATTAGTAATTAATGTGTTGAATAATCATGTTCAAGTTTCATCTTGTTTAAAATTAATTTTATTTTTGTTAAGTAAATATGTACAATTTTCGATAATGATGTTATATAAAAATGCATTTAGTTTGATGGTAAGTTCACTACACATTACCCTTAATGACTAGGGGTTGAACTTCATTGTTGTTAACTTTTAAACTATTTTTATTTTCCTAAATGTACAATATCACATGAAGGTGTCCATGTCGGTTGAATGTAAGTTGGAATGCAAGGGCATTAGAACTCCTGTTTGAACCAGGATTTTTATTGGTTTAATTACATCATTATCACCTTTTACTTCTAATGAGTGACTCAAATAAATAAATCCTGATTTAATTACATCATTATCAATTTTCACTTCTAATGAATGACCTGAATCAGTTACCTAATTGGGTTTTGGTCGAATCGATCAGTAATGTTTGAGTTTTAAAACATAAATGTAACATTTGAAAAAAAAAATTGTGTTAATTCTATTTGGATGGAAATTAATGTAATTCAAAACGTCAACTATACTAAGTTTTAAATTCAAAAGGACAAAAAAAAAAAAAAAAAAGAAAGAAAAAGACATCCTAACTTAGTGAAAAATGAATGCACCTTTGTGATACTTCAATCTATATGATTTGTGATAATTATAATAAATTATTGAGACTTTTGTCTTAGTGCCTTAGAAACACAAATAATGTAAAACACAAATACATATGTAAATAAATAATTATAAATTTCAAGCATTAAAATATTTAATTTGTTATAATATAATCGTACTAAATATCATAAACTCTCTTTAAATATTTTATCCTTTTCTATTTTGATAGACAAATTTGAGTTTAAAATTTGAAATAGTATCATTTTATATTGCCAAAAAAACCTCTATTGAAGGTTGACACTATTCTTTGAAGACAAAAGAAGATGAATATTCCTATATGAGTGTGAAAAATATATAATATTCAATTATGAATACTTATAGGATATCATATTACGGATGAACATAGATATAAGCAATGTTGGATTGGATGCTTATCGCTAGGCCAAAAATTATAGTTATTAGTTAGGGTGCAATGATTTTACTTAACTGTAACAGTCCAAGCATCATGTGTAGATTATGACTTGACCCATCTAGGTTTCTGCCACAAGACAATTAGTGTCACTTGACAAAAAATTTCCTCCTAAGCAATTGCTCCCACTAGGAGTCGAGCACGTGACCTTGACTCTAATACCAATTATTAGATCGAATGTTTACCACTAGATAAAAAATTATAACTGTTAGTCAATGCGCAACTCTTTCTACTTAACTATAGCATCCCAAGTGCCACATGTTGACTAGGAGTTGACCCACTTAGGTCTTCGCATGGGAAATTGGTGCCACCTGATAAACAAACAACAATTATGGGAGAGGGTCACTTGGTGGTTTCCGATCCTAGTGATTACTTTGTAATTTATTATGATGCTTATAAGATGGATTTGGGAGGGGTGCTCATATATCTAGGCAATTGAAAACCCATGAACAAGACTACCGTACCCATGACTTAGAATCAGTTGTTGTGGTATTTGTGTTGAAATTGTGAAGACATTACCTTTATGGGTTGAGGTTTGAAGTGCTCAGTGACCATCAAAGTCTTAGGTATCTCTTTGATCAAAAGGAGTTAAACATGAGACAAAAGAGATGATTAGAATTCCTTATTTGAGCTTAACTATCATCTAGGTAAAACCAATGTGGTGGATCATGTCTCAAGTAGAAAATCTTTGGTAGTGTCTACTTTGATGCGTGGAGAGTTTGATCTTTCGAAATAGTTTAGAAACATGGCCTAGTGTGTGAGTTGAGTTCTAGAAGTTTTAGGTTGGGAACTTGAAGGTAACTAATAGCTTAGTGGATTAGATTAAAGAGAGTTAGAAAAATAGATCCTTTCTTGTTGTATCAAGTGGAGAGGTTGAAGCAGGAAAATGTAGTGACTTTAGAATGGGTGTAGGTAGAGCTTTTTGTTTTAAATATAGGTTGTTTTTCTATATACCTAAACTTAAGAAGATGTTCTTAGAAAAAGGAGCAGCCATAATATTTGTCTAAGAGTTTTTAAGATGTATCAAGATCTGAAAAGGATGTTTTGGTGGCCTAAGATGAATAAGGAAGTAAAAGAGTTTGTGTATTCTTGTTTAGTTTGTTAAAAGTCTAAGGTAGAATACCACACAAACTATTAGGAAAGTTGTAGCCCTTAAACATACATGCATGGAAATGGAATATCCTTAGACTTTGTGGTTATGTTATCTAGAACAACAAAGAACCTAGAGTCTATTTAGGTGATAGTGGACAAATTGACTATGTCTATTCATTTCATTCCAATCAACATTAGGTACTCTCTAGATAGATTGACCAAGTTGTACACAAGTGAGATAACAAGGTTGCATGTGGTTTAATCCACTATAATTTTTGATAAGGACTCTAAATTTGCCTCTATATTTGTGGGAGAGTCTGCATAAGACTAAACAAAGCTTATATTGATTTCATGAATTCGATTTATTTGTGTTCGAAAGGAATTAATTTCTTAACTTAATTAGTTGTGACAAAAATATATAAAATATAAACATGTAAATTAGAGAAATAATATTTTTATTTCACATCATATTTAGCTTAAAAATTATCTAATATGTACATGTGGATAAACATATTCAACTAAGTGTGATTGGATAAAAGATTTTAAAGGAGTCATTTATAATTTTTTTTTCTTTGAAGAATTTTAAATGCCTTAAGTTGAAATATCTTATTTGGATGAAGGATTTATAGAGAATATAAAATTTAAATGTTTATAAAATTCTTTAAAATAGTAAATTTTTAAATTCTCTTAATAAAGTAAAAATTTAAAATTCTTCATATTTTTTTTTCTTCTCATTTCATTTATATATCTTTTATTTATCTATCCTTTTCGTCACTCTCCTCTATCTCATGCATTCCCTTTTGTTTTTTTCTCTCCGTCATCTCTTTTTTTTATTTATTTATTTTTTTCAATGTCAATGTAAAAAATATCATTTTTTTAAAAAAATTATTGAATATTTAAAAATATTAAATATTATTAAATTTTTTTAAATATTTAAAAATTGGATAACATTTATTTTATAAAGTTTAATTTTAAAATTTTGAAATGTATTTATTTATTTAAAATCAAAGATCATTAGAAGCATAGCAAAACTCAAAGATCGTCTGCGGATCGTCGATCCGATCCGATCCGATCGCATCTGAACTTGTGGGGTTTGGGTCGTTTTTGACCGAGTTCGAAAAAATAAAAAAAACGTATGGGCTTCTCGGGTTGGGCGTATGACCCGGTCCAAAAGTTGAAAAAAAAATATATCCATAAGTGGAAAGGGTTCTATACGCAAAAACACCGCACTTCTCCCTTCCACCAAACGGACTGCGACCACCTTCTGTTCTCTTCCTTCCATAGTGGTCACCTTCGAGGCTTCCCTCGCCGTCGCCGGTCACTTTCGTGCTTCCCTCGCCGTCGCTGCTCACCTTCGACCCTTTCGTCGCCGTCGTCGACTCCGTCTTCTCTTTTGCTGTCCTGTTCGATCCTATTCCATCCTATTTCTTCTGTTCTGTTCTAATTTAAATGCTATATATATATATATATATATATATATTATAATTATGGTATTGATATGAATTGTCCACCTCCGGAACCAGTGAAAAATCACTATCCAGGTCCGTGATCACGCACAAAGTGAATATTTTCATGCAAATATAATCTATTCTATACACAAGACTTGGATTCGAACCCTATATAACTTGGTTGAGGACACAAACAGATATTTGTGCCAATTTATGTTGGGATTCAAATGTTATCTTAATTTAGGATTACTAAGTATGATTTATGAATTTATTATGAGTTATTTTATGGCTTGTGCACCCAATTTAAGTTTTGTAATGTACAATCTTATACCAATATTGAATGTAGTTTGTGTCCGTTAAGCAAGTTTTCTAGGATCAATCCTAGGGATGACAACTATACCTGTACTTGCGGGTAGCACTCGAACCCGTCCCGATTCTGACAGGGAATACCCGGTTTGATTGGGTACGGGTAAAACCCGATATATTAAATCGGGTACGGGTACGGAGTATGTACTTACCCGTCCCGTACCGTCTCCGTTCCCATTTTTAATTTAATACCCACTTTCAATTTAATTATATTAAAAAAATTTAATATTTTTTTGTGTGTGATTATTTATTATAGTATGAGATAGATAAATAATTTAATTATAATTATAATATAATAAAAAAATAATTTAAAAATATCATTTTTTTACAAAAAATAAAAAATAAAAAAATTAACGGGTACTGGTACGGGTATACTCGATACCCGACGGGAACGGGGATGAGAATGAAAATTACATACCCGACGGGTACGGGGACGGGTTTGGGTTTGACTTGCGGCGACGGGGACGGGTATCATGAAACCCGTACCCGCCCCGCCCCGTTGCCATCCCTATCCTAACTATAGGTTCTCCGTGGAGATTAGTTACCCGTACCACTTATGGTGAAGGATTCTCAGTACTAATACCATGGTTACCAAAAAAGATGTACTGAATCTTATTTTATGAATTATGATATGTTTAGATGATTTATTTTTGGTTATGATCTGTTTAGAATATCTGGGTTTTTTTTTTTTTTTTTTTTTTTTTTTTTTTTTTTTTTTCCTCTCCAATTTGCATATACATGTAATTTAGTTACTGTCTTTTAACCCTCGTCCGATCTTTGAGTTTGACAACACTCTGTACAAAAAATTCGATGAGCTTTCACACTTTTCTGTTGTTTTGAATTTCAGTGTTCATTATTTCTTTACCCCATTTTCAATTCAAATTATCTCTGTGCTTTATATCGATCAGTAAACAGGTAATCTTCAAATTTTGCTGTTTCCTTGTTTGCTTGGCTAGTAGCTGATTGGTCCATGGCTTGTTTACATAATTTCTTATGCTATGAATGTAATAAAAAATTCTTAGGTTACTGTTTACTCTTTCTGTCTAGATTTAAATATGGAATAAGATGCATATTCTGTGTTTGATTAATTTTCTGAGATAAATGAGATGATGTTTGACACATAGTATGTCTATACTTCTTTTAATACCCTTCCTTGCATTGATTATTAATTATGATCTACACTAAGTAATTTCTGGGGCTATGTCTGTTTGTTGTTGTTTTAACATTTGTGAATTGGTAGAGGATCTTGGGAATTTGATTGTTGCTGTATATTAATTTAGACTCTGATTTACCTCAAAACAGAAACGCGATTATGATAGTTGAAGATAAAGTGGAAATTGCAGAATTTCAGTGTCATTTGGTCTTTAACATAAGCTGAATGATCTTGTTTGATTCACGTAGATTGATGCTTTTGTTGGTGCTGTTGTAGTGTTACTGTCATTTGGTTAATTGAGAAAGTTTCTAAGAATAAGATTACCATATTTTTAGGCCTCTTGGTTTTGGAAAGCTGTATCAAAATAAGCTAAATAGCTACCAGTTGTTCATCTTAGTTCATTTTCAGGGCTGATTTTTTTTTTTTTTTTGGAAAGCTAACAATGTAAAAGCTTTGTTAAATAGCTAAAAACTTTATCTCAATTGACAGAGTCCAAACGACCATCAACTAATTGTACATAAGTATTTAAATTTTTTCACTAATGTCACAGGCCATTAGAATATGTTACCATTAACAACCTATTTAAAAATTCAATGAAGTATTAACATACTCACCCTAATTTAAATTTAAATTTAATTATTTTTATTATTAAATTTTTATTTTAATTGTATAATATTTTGATATGGCATTCCACTTCTTCAGGGTCAAAGGGATGTGAAAAGCAACACCTGAGCATGAAAAACAAATTGAAGAAAATAAAACACTGCACCAAACTATGGTTGTGAAATGAAAATGATGGGCCATATCAGTCATATTTGTAGACATGGTTTTCATTGGGAGCCATAGCCAATTGATTGATAGTGTGTGCACAATTGTAGTCAAGGGTAGTTGGGGCAATCTATTGAAGGTGAATAAGAATTCCTCTGCTCTCACTTCTTCTACTATTCACCAGGTACTTTTGCAGCTCTCACTATATGGTTATGGGCTCTCTCATTCCTTCCCATTCTTCAAATGGCTTGATTCCATCCCACATTATAACCATTCCTTGCAATGTTCATGGGCCATGATTCACATCCTCACTGAACATAAGCATTTCAAAACTGCACAACGTATGCTTGAAAACATTGCCGATAAAGATTTACTTTCATCACCTTCAGTTTTGAGCACTTTAGTGAGGACTCATGACAAGCCAGAATTTAATTCTCAAGTGTTGAGTTGGCTTGTCATACATTATGCCAAGTCAAAGATGACACAAGATGCAATTCAAGTTTTCGAGCAGATGAGGTTACATGAAGTCAAACCTCATTTGCATGCTTGTACTGTTCTTTTGAATTCCTTGTTGAAGGATGGGGTTACTCACATGGTGTGGAAAATATACAAGAGAATGGTTCAAGTTGGGGTTGTTCCCAATATGTACATCTACAATTGTTTATTCCATGCCTGTTCCAAATCAGGAGATCTGGAAAGGGCAGAACAATTATTAAATGAGATGGACGTAAATGGTGTGCTTCCTGATATCTTCACATACAATACTTTGATATCATTATATAGCAGGAATGGTATGCACTATGAGGCTTTATCAATCCAGGAAAGAATGGGAAGAGATGGGATAAACCTTGATATTGTTAGTTATAACTCTCTTATTTATGGATTTTGCAAAGAAGGTAGGATGAGAGAAGCTATGAGGATGTTTAGCGAAATAAAAAATGCAACTCCCAATCATGTGACATATACTACACTAATTGATGGTTATTGTAAAACAAATGAACTGGAGCAAGCTCTGAAAATGTGGGAACTGATGGAGGCTAAGGGATTGTACCCTGGAGTTGTTACTTATAATTCAATTTTGCGTAAGCTGTGTCAAGATGGCAGGATAAGGGATGCAAACAAACTCTTGAATCAGATGAATGAAAGGAAAGTTCAAGCTGACAATATCACATGCAACACACTTATAAATGCTTACTGCAAGATTGGAGATTTGAAATCTGCTTTGAAATTTAAGAACAAGATGTTAGAAGCTGGACTAAAACCTGATCCATTTACATATAAGGCTCTGATTCATGGGTTCTGCAAGACGAATGACCTGGAAAGCGCAAAGGAGTTAATGTTCAACATGCTTGATGCTGGTTTTACCCCCAGTTATTGCACATACTCATGGATTGTAGATGGATACTCTAAGAAAGACAATATGGATGTAGTTTTAGCATTGCCAGATGAGTTTCTGAGTAGAGGTCTTTGTCTTGATGTTTCAGTATACAGGGCCCTGATAAGAAGGGCATGCAAGGTAGAAAGGACTGAATGTGCGGAAAAGTTATTCAATCATATGGAAGGAAAGGGTATATCAGGTGACAGTGTTATCTACACCAGTCTTGCATATGCGTATTGGAAAGTGGGGAACACAGGTGCTGCCTCAAGTATGTTAGAAGAGATGGCTAGGAGAAGGTTGATGATCACAGTCAAACTTTATAGATGCTTTAGTACTTCTGATACTAGTGAAAACAAAGTGTTACAGATCTTCTGGAATCATGTGGTGGATAGGGGTCTGATGTCGAGAAATACAATGAACAAGATACAGCAGATACTGATGTGATAATATTGCTTATGAAAGAACCCTCACATCTAGAAGATTTTTCCTTGACTTGTTTGCAAGGGGAAATACATTGCTTCTGGTTATCAGTGTCTTCCTTCATGTTTTCACTTTTCATTAGAATTTTGGAAAATCATTGAGAATTTGGGAAAATATGATGGGGACCTTTTACAAACCTTACATGTTAACTATCATAAATCATCTTGATTTACAACCTATTTATGCATCATTCTTTTAATAGATATGATTCTTTAGTCCTTTTGGTATGTGACCCGGAAAAATCACTGCAGTTTTTCTTCTAAAAGGTTATATTATAGAAGAACTTCAATGAGTTCACCCTCCTTGTATTTTCAGCTTATTAGGATATGAAAGTGCATATCTTCTATTTATATGTGACTAAGCCATCATGACTAAGTAGGAGCACGACAGGTATTTTCCTTTTGATTTGGGTAATTATCGGACTTAACTATTTTCTTGCTATGATAATGCACGTTGTGTCAACAATTTCTATACTTTTATTTATTTATTTTTTATTTTTTTATGCACCGCAATATTGATTTGTTCCTTCTCTGTTTTATATTGTTGGAGGTGAAGGTGAAGGGAGAAAGGGTACAAAGAAGATAGTCTAATTTAATAAAAGAAAGACCCGAACATTAGAATATAATAGAAACCCTCAAATGATCTCAGGGAAAACAGTATTTTTGAATGCAAAGAGGAGCTACAAGAGCTCTTACAGAAAATGGAAACGATATCCAAAGCCATAGGCTCCTACCCATAGAGATACTCTCCTAACCAACTCAACAATATATTCACTGATTCCCAAAATTCCCCCTGCTGACCTAATAATACCTGACCCTCTTAGATTCTCGCTCCTATATATGAGGTAACCGAATGCCAGCTCAATAACTAATTTCCTCTCCCAAGTGGACCCCCTTTCTGCCTTCTAGAATAGACTTTCCAAATGATGGGCCTCTTTGTGTTCCGGTTCAGCACCTGATCCAAGTCCAGGTCATTCACCGGATCATGCCCCAGGGTCCTATTAGAATAGCTTTTCAATCTCTACATATCTAGTGAAAGATCCAAGTTTAAATATTTTTTCATTAAAGTTTGAGAGTTCCACTCCAACCAAACAAACCAAAAACATTACTGATATGGTGCTCCCAACAAATTTTGCCATCCTAGATCATGCCTAAAATATTTTATGAATGAAATTGCTCCAAGTTTTAAGGGCTCACCCAATATTCACCTAACATGTTAGTAATCCTACTCCATCTGCTAGTAGCTGAATGGTGTCATTAAAATAATTGTGCAGTTTTTTCTTAGTCAGAGAGCCGTATGATACATATCAGGGACTTGGATTAGTATTAAGTCTCTCTCAAAAAGAACACTTTAGCAGGGACTTGGATTTCCAAAAGAATTTTCAAGAAGGAATCTCTATCCCTTTGGGTGTTAATTCAGGTAAGGTCAACGTGTGTGACTGAAGAAGTCTAACATTTGATAGAAATGGACAGGTTGGAAGAAGTTAAGACCATATAAAGTGGAAGGACTGATGAATGTCTTTTAGACTCCTATTGGTCTCTGATGAGTCATTATTTTCTCCTATTTCCTTACCTTTCTGTACTTATTTTAATCTTTGATTTGCGCTTAATTGTTGATTATCTGCATTATTTTCTATTTGGGCTTTAATTGGACCGGTAATTCATATTTTAACTAATTTGAATTTTCTGAATCTAATTATTCCAAATTTTTATTTTCAGGGCAGTTTAATAATTATTTGGGCTTGGAATTAATTTATGGACTTCAAGTGGAGTTGCCACGTCATTTGCCACGTCATCTGCCATGTCACTGCTGCACCATTTTCCACCTCAGCATTCATTTTTAGTTTGTAGGCTATTTTATTGAACTTGGTCAAACTTGTATTTTATTTGGGCCCAATTTCATTTTTTTAGGTCATAGGCTAGGGTAGGGCTGACTAGGCAGCCACTAAATGAAGGGGCTGAGGTGACTACGTGAACAGTAGCCTCCTCTCTCATTTTTACGTTTTTGTATTCACGTTTTATTTTCTCTGTAGCTACAATTCACGTTTTGGGCTCTCCATTCCTTTTTGTTTCTGGTTGAACTTCTGAAACTTCATTGTTATTCACGTTTTTCTTGCTCTTTGTTGAGTTTTACGTTTTAGCTTCTTCTCTAGTTGTGAACTTCTTCTCTGCCTTGTATTTCGTTTCCATTTTCGTTTCTGTTTGTATTTTCATTTCTGTTTTGTATTTTCGTTTCTGTTTCCGTTTTAATGGAAGGCTAAAACCGCAGGGGTTGGCTCCTTGAGAAGATTGCAATCACTGATTGAGGTTTTGTTTATATTTGTATCTGTGTTCTGCTTGGTTCTTCTTCATTGAACCTCTGAAACGTTTTTAACACCTGTTCATGCTTAATGAATCAGGTTGCTCACAAGTTGCTTAATCTTGTGGGGAGGTTTAATGTAGTATATGTTTGCTTAATTCGTGTAGGCCAATCCGTTTTACTTGCTGTTTTATTTCGTTTCATAGTGTTACAAACTGAAAATCCGAAAACAAACCCCCCCACTGTGTGTTTAAGCCTTTAACAGTAAAAGACGGTCCTTGGGAGACGACCTAGGAGTCACTTCCTAGTACTACATTTAATTGTATTTATTTGACCGGATACGGCTTCGATCAAATTTGGCGCCATTGTCAGGGACCATCGGTTCTTGTTATAGGTTGTGTGTTTGTGTGTTATTTGTTCTTGTTGTGTTCTGATGTGTGTTTTGTGTTTTAGAGCTCTGTTATGTTATGTGTGTAGTGTATTAGTGTATCAGTATCAGTTTTAGTGTATCAGCTTTTGTTTCAATTTTGTATGAATTTTGTATTTCAATTTGGTGCTTGCGTTTTTGTGTGTCATTACATGTTATGTTGTGTATTTGTGTTTGTTATTAGTCTCCCCAGGTGTAGCAAGTAAGCCAGCTGAAGAATTCACGTTATTAATTCTGATGAACAGTAAACTAATGGAACAGTAACTCAAATTTGGTTTTTGATGCATTTGCTGTCATGTGTTTGTCATAGCTGATCTTTATTGCATTTGAGAGGCCATTGTAACCAATTATATTGATTTCATTTGGTGTGTTGAATCATTGTTGTATGTGTTGAGTTTCAATTGTGGTGCATTTCGTGGTGCATGTGGTGCAAAATCTGGTGCATTTAGGCTAAAAATTTGGTGCATTTTGGCTAAAAATCTGGTGCATTTAGGCTCAAGGTGCGTTTTGGCTAAAAATCTGGTGCATTTTGCTCTGTTTTTGGTGCATTTTTTGGTCCGTTTTTGGTGCATGTTCTGTTTCGGTTTGGGCATGCTCTGTTTTGGCTGCCTACTACTCCTCTGTTCAGGTGCCAAAACAGTGGGAAAATGGTGTGGAAGAGCAAAATCTGGGGCAAAAATGTGGCGCATGAATAGTGCTAAATAGTGCCAGAATTTTTCAATTAATTGTGATTTTTGGTTTTGATAGCTACACTTGTTATTTTTGCCTAATTTTTTTGTGGTAACTTCTTTCAACCTATATTTTGTGTAAAAAATAGCTAGGGCACATAGTTTGGTCAAAATTTGGAGATACCAAAATTTTTGAAAATTGTTTTCAGCAAAATTTCAAAAGGTCATAACTTTGGCTCTGGTTATGAGAATTAGGCAAACTTTTTTTTCATTTTGTGTAGAAAAAAAGATATATCCAACCCACACGCTATGCCATGTGGCCCCAGCTAGATCTTCAGAAAAAGCTCGTTTACTATTTCTTTTTTATTTTTAAAATTTTATTTCACTATTTTTCCAAACTTTTCTAATTTTTTTAAAATAGTTAGGTTTTGAATTTTGTTCTCAACTTTTTTGTGGTAGTGTCTTATGATTTTAGGATGATGTTGGTGCATTAGTTTTAATATTTTCTGAGCTTTCATGGAAATTCCCAGTTTACCCCTACTGTTCATGTGTCCTGATACATGTGTTGCATGTAGTGCATGACTAGGAGCAACCCTGATTTTTTACATCCATTTGACCCTGAGATTGATAGGACATTCCATAGACTAATTAGAGAGCATATCATTCCATCTTTAGATAGTGTTAGTCATAGTCATAGTGATAGTGTAAGTGTTGCATCTGAGATTCATTCAAGACAAACAGAAAACACGGGTGAACATAATGGACCTCGTGAGAGGACTCTTAGGGAGATGGCTGCACTTGATTTCACATATGAGAGTCTATGCATTCAATATCCTGAGGAAGATATTCCTTTTATGCTAAAAATTGGACTAATCCATTTGTTGCCTAAGTTTCATAGTCGTGTAGGTGATGATCCGCACAAACATCTAAAGGAGTTCCATATTGTTTGTTCTACCATGAAGCCTCCTGATGTTCAAGAGGATCACATTTACCTGAAGGCATTCCCTTTTTCATTGGAGGATCTTGCCAATGACTAGTTGTACTATCTGGCTCCTGGTTCAATAACAGGCTGGGATGACTTGAAGAGAGTGTTCCTTGAAAAATTCTTCCCTGCATCCAGGACCACTGCAATTTGGAAAGACATATCTGGAATTAGGCAACTCATGGGGGAGAGCTTATACAAGTACTGGGAGAGATTCAAGAGGCTGTGTGCTAGCTGCCATCACCATCAAATTTCTGAGCAGCTATTATTGCAGTACTTCTATGAGGGGTTGAACATAATGGATAGAAGCATGACTGATGCAGCTAGTGGAGGAGCTTTAGGAGATATGACACCTGCTTCTGCTAGAAGGCTGATTGAAAAAATGGCGTCCAACTCACAACAATTCAATATGATGAGTGATGCCATAGTTGTGAGGGGTGTGCATGATGTGGTAGCCTCAGATTCCACATAACATAAGAAGATGGAGAGTAAGATTGATGCTCTCACCACCTTGATTTCACAACTGGCTGCAAATCAAAAATCAACTCCACCACCAGCGAAAGTATGTGGCATCTGCACTTCAATCAATCATCCAACAGATGCTTGTCCCTCCTTGCAAGACTCTTCTATAGGTCCTGATGCCCCACAAGCCTATGCTGCAAATATCTACAATAACAGACTAGCGCAGCAATAGCAGCAGCAGAATTATGACCTCTCCAGCAATAGGTACAATCCAGGTTGGAGAAATCATCCCAATCTCAGATGGCCTAACCAGCAGCAGCAGCAGCAACAACAACCATCCCCTCCCTTCCAAAACAATGCTGGTCCTAGTAGATATGTACCTCCTCCTATCCAACAGCAGCAACAGAGACAACACGAAGCTCCTGCACCACCAGCTCCTCAACCTTCTACTTCTGAGCCTTTATTGGAGGAGCTGGTCAGGCAGATGACTCTGCAAAACATGCCGTTCCAGCAAGAGACAAGAGCTTCCATACAGAGTTTGACAAATCAAATGGGTCAGCTGGCTACTCAGCTAAATCAAGCATAGTCCCAAAATTCAGACAAGCTACCTTCACAGACTGTGCAAAATCTGAAGAATGTGAGTGCCATCACCTTGAGGTCTGGCAAACATATTGACATACCATAACCTATAGCTGCTACACCTCCACCTGATCCTACACTTGAGAAAGAGAGCCATACAGGTAGTAGCAAAAATTTTCATGCAGGTGGACCTTCTTCTAGTGCTGCACACAGTGATGATCTACATCAACCTCCTATCCCTCTTCCATTTCCACCAAAATCAATTCCAAGCAAAAAGATGGAAGAGGTGGATAAGGAGATATTGGAGACCTTCAGGAAGGTGGAGGTGAACATACCTTTGCTGGATGCCATCAAGCAAATTCCCATATATGCTATGTTCCTGAAAGACTTGTGCACCCACAAGAGGAAGCTGAAGGGCAATGAGCGAATCAGCATGGGCAGAAATGTCTCAGCACTCATAGGAAAATCTATTCCACATATTCCTAAAAAGTGTAAGGACCCAGGTACATTTTGTGTACTTTGCATTATTGGTAACAATAAATTTGAAAATTCCATGCTTGATTTAGGAGCTTCGATTAATGTCATGCCTCTATCTATTTTTAATTCTCTGTCTCTTGGTTCTTTGCAACCTACGGGTGTGGTCATTCAGTTGGCCAATAGGAGTGTTGCCCACCCCACAGGTTTTATAGAGGATGTCTTGGTTCGGGTTGGTGAACTTATTTTTCCCGCTGATTTTTATGTTCTTGATATGGAGGAGGGGTTTTCCCATGGTTCTGTCCCAATCATGCTAGGCAGACCATTTTTGAAAATAGCCCGGAAAAAGATTGATGTTTATGCTGGCACCTTGTCTATGGAATTTGGTGATATTGTTGTTCATTTTAATATTTTGGATGCCATGAAATTTCCTTCTGAAGCTCATTCTATTTTTCGTGCTGAATTGATTGATGATATAGTTGATGAGCACATTCATGGTTTAGATTCTTCTCATGCTAGGAAGCATTCATTTTCATCTGATTTGTATAGCTATCTTCCATGCATTGAGTCTGAATCTGAATCTGAATATCTATCTGAATGTGAAACTGATTATGAGCCATCTGAATTTGAATTTGACACTTTGGGTGCTGTACCTCTTGCTCTTGATTTTATACAGTCAGAATGCACTAACCATGTTGCAGGAAGTACAAAAGAATCTGACTTGCAGGTTGAGGTACAGGCTGCGGAACCCCTTCTCCCTTCTTTGGTTCTTTCTGATGTTCAGCCAGCACCCACACTAGAGTTGAAGCCTCTTCCAGATAACCTCAAGTATGCTTACTTGGAGGATGATGAGAAGCTGCCAGTGATCATTTCCACCTCCCTTGATGTTGTTCAAGAGGAGAAATTGCTGCATGTGCTTCGAAAGCACAAGAAGGCAATTGGTTGGACCCTGGCAGATATTCCTGGCATCAGCCCATCCACATGCATGCACAGGATATTACTGGAGGATGAAGTTAAACCAGTGAGACAGCCCCAGAGGCGACTCAACCCTGTCATTTTGGAAGTTGTGAAGAAAGAGGTGACCAAACTTCTACAAGTTGGGATCATCTATCCCATTTCAGACAGTCAGTGGGTAAGTCCGATCCAGGTGGTCCCCAAGAAGACAAGCCTCACTGTTGTTAAGAATGAAAAGCATGAGCTCATACCCACCAGAGTCCAAAATAGTTGGAGGGTCTGTATTGACTACCGGAGGCTCAACCAAGCAACAAGGAAGGATTATTTTCCTCTGCCCTTCATTAATCAGATGCTTGAGCGTCTGGCAGGTAAATCTCATTAATATTTTCTTGATGGGTTCTCTGGTTATTTTCAGATTCATATTTCTCCTGAGGATCAGGAAAAGACCACATTCACCTGCCCTTTTGGTACTTTTGCCTATAGGAGGATGCCTTTTGGCCTATGCAATGCCCCTGGCGCATTCCAACGGTGCATGCTTAGTATCTTTTCTGATTTTCTTGAAAATTGCATAGAGGTGTTTATGGATGATTTTACTATTTATGGATCCTCTTTTGATGCATGTTTGGATAGTTTGGATAGAGTTTTGAATAGATGCATTGAAACTAACTTTGTTCTTAATTTTGAGAAATGTCATTTTATGGTAGAGCAGGGTATAGTTTTAGGGCATATCATTTCCAGTTGGGGTATTCAGGTTGACCCTGCAAAGATATCTGTCATTGCACAATTGCCTTACCCCTCTTGCGTGCGAGAGGTGCGATCTTTTCTTGGCCATGCAGGTTTCTACAAGCGTTTCATTAAGGACTTCAGCAAGAAAGCCCTTCCACTATCCAGCTTGCTTCAAAAGGAAATTGAATTTGATTTTGATGACAGGTGCAAGGAGGCGTTTGATTGCCTCAAGAAAGCCTTGACCACCACTCCCATCATTCAGGCACCAGATTGGACAGTTCCCTTTGAGCTGATGTGTGATGCTTCAAATTATGAACTGGGGGTTGTCTTAGCACAGAGGGTTGACAGATCACCTATGGTGATATACTATGCTTCCAGGACACTAGATGCTACTCAAGCAAATTACACGACCACGGAAAAGGAACTTTTAGCTATTATTTTTGCACTTGATAAATTTCGATCATATTTGCTTGGTTCTCGTGTCGTAGTTTTTACAGATCATGCAGCTTTAAAGTACCTGTTGAAGAAAGCTGACTCAAAGCCTAGGCTGATCAGATGGATGTTCTGGCTTCAAGAGTTTGACTTGGACATCCGTGACAGGAGCGGAGCACAAAACTTGGTGGCAGACCATCTCAGCAGGATTGAGAGAGCTGAGGATAGTGCTGACGTCTTGCCCATCCAGGATAATTTTCCTGATGAAAATTTGTTAACTGTTTCTTCTGTTTCTGCCTCTACCACCCTTTGGTTTGCAAATATTGTTAATTATTTAGTTGCTTCTATTTTTCCTCCTTTAGCATCTAGAGCTCAGATTGATAAACTTAAGAGTGATGCTAAACATTATGTTTGGGATGACCCCTATTTGTGAAAGTTTTGCAGTGATCAGGTAATCAGGAGATGCTTGTCGGACCATGAGATTGACTCCGTCCTGTAGTTCTGTCATTCTTTTGCATCTGGTGGTCATCTTGGCATTCAGAGGACAACTCGCAAGGTGCTTGACTGTGGTTTTTACTGGCCCACCATCTTCAAGGATGCGTGGAAGATTTGCAGCACTTGTGAGCAATGCCAGAGAGCAGGAGGATCCCTTACATGGAGACAACAGATGCCTCAACAGCCCATGCTATTTTGTGAGGTGTTTGATATCTGGGGTATTGATTTCATGGATCCCTTTCCTGTTTCTTTTGGTTTTTCATATATTCTCCTAGCTGTTGATTATGTTTCAAAGTGGGTGGAAGCCAAAGCCACCAGAACTAATGATGCTCGGGTTGTTGTGGATTTTGTCAGATCTAACATATTTTGCAGGTTTGGAGTACCCAGAGCTATTGTTAGTGATCAGGGCACCCATTTTTGTAACAGATCCATGCAGACCTTGCTTAGGAAGTATGGGGTTGTGCACAAAATTTCTACACCGTACCATCCCCAAACTAATGGGCAAGCAGAGATTTCAAATAGAGAGATCAAAAGGATCTTAGAGAAGATTGTCCAGCCCAATAGGAAACCTTGGAGCAATAGGCTAGAGGATGCTCTCTGGGCACATAGGACTGCTTACAAAGCACCCATAAGGATGTCTCCTTATCGGGTTGTCTTTGGCAAAACATGTCATCTTCCTGTGGAGATATAGCACCGAGCTTACTGGGCTGTGAAGACCTACAACTTCTCTATTGATCAGGCTGGAGAGGAAAGAAAGTTGCAACTGAGTGAGCTTGATGAGATCCGCCTTGAAGCCTATGAGAACTCTAAGTTCTACAAGGAGAAAACCAAAAAGTTCCATGACAGCTTGATAGCTATGAAGGACTTCGTGGTTGGCCAGAAAGTTCTGTTGTACAATTCTCGGCTCTGACTCATGGGTGGTAAGTTACGTTCTAAGTGGATTGGACCTTTTGTTGTTACTAATGTTTTTCCTTGTGGTATAGTTGAGGTCAAAAGTGAATCCACAGACAAGAGCTTCAAAGTTAATGGGCACCGTCTGAAGCCTTTCCTTAGAAATCCATCCTTGTTGAATGTAGTTGAAGAGGAGATGTCTTTGCTCGACCCCGCTACTCTCCCACCATGACTTAGGGAGTTTTTTTTCCCCTTCTCCTTCTTTACTTTTATTGCACTTGTCTAGATTTATTGATTGTTCTGATTGCTCTGATCTTCTGTTTGGGCCACATTGAGACAATGTGTGATTTAAGTGTGGGGGGGAACTGTTTTGGTTTTGTTTTGGTTTGATTACATGCTTTTAGGGTTTATTTGTTATTTTAGGTTTTGTGTTTAGGTGTTCTGTACAGCTTTGCATGTTTCTCTTTGATTTCTAGGTTTTGATTGTTTGTAGGCACTTACTTCATTCTTGGATAGGAGTTTCTTGATACTATATGGTTTGAAATCCCTGTTTTTCTCTGCTTGGAAAGATGATTTTGAGGTTTGAGAGGTTGTTTTAATTGTGACAGATATACCCTGTGTGAGGATTTGAGCCACTCTCTGTTCTTTCTTGTGTGTTATGCCTCTTGATTGCTTGCACAGTTGCCTTGTCTTGACTCTGTTTGATACTTCTTGATTCACATGCATGTTTGGATATGATTAAGGCATTTTGATTCTCATAAGCCTCTAGCCAAATAAGCCTACCTTGAATTAACTCCTCTGATAACCCCTGCTGAGCCTATTTCCCCTTCTTTGTTTGAAGCTCATTACAAGCCTTAAGCGAAAAACCATGATTACCTTAACCTTTGGGAGTTTTGGAGCTTTGGAATTGTTTTGGGAATAAGTTCTTGAATAAGTGTGGGGGTGTGCGTATGTTTCATTGGATGATGTATATTGGCTAGTTGATTTCTTATGCTTTACACTTTACTTCTCTGCATGTTATCTTATCTCATTTAA